TTATATTTTTATATTTTATTTTATATTTTTTATTGAGTGTGCTTGAGCACAGAGCCTAAAGAACAATAAATAAGAACCTATTAAATCAGGTCATTGGATGTATTCAGTACTCAAATGCATTCAGTTCAGTTAGAGTCTTTCTCTAATTTATTTTGTTTAAGAACTTACTTACGTGATTTTAATACATGAAGTAAAATGTAAAACGTAAATGAAAAAGAAAAGAAAACATAAATGACAAAAAATAAAGTAGATGCTGTGTTGCCTCCACTGCCACGTGGACACCAAAGTGTTCAAACAAATCACAGGCAGATGTTGGAAAATGCCAACGCCAGTGCATTCACTGCATCAGGGACTTTGGGGACATCTCTGGTCGGCTGGTGTCCTCTCTGGGAGTCACTGCTGATGGGGGCTGTTTGGTGCAGCTTCTGGGGCAAATATCCACCAGACCTGTAATCGGTCAGGGGACGTCTCTGGTGGTGGTAGTTCAATTTGCCCCTGTGGACCCACTGTGGCCTGGACCTTTCCCCGCTGTTGAAGTTGCCCCTGTTGCGTTGGCAGTTGCAGCGGCAGCAGAAGTCCCCTCTGAAGTTTCTTGGAGCAATCCCCGCACGAAAGGTGTTCCTGTGCGAGGCTGCATTTGAGGGTCTGCCAAAGTGAGCGACTCGGCCCAGTGGTCTGTTGTACCTTTGGTTTTGAGCAGAATGTTGGTTTCTTTGAGGGCCGGTGATCCACCTTCTGTGTGTCACTTGTGCACCATTGTGGCTCCTCTGGTATTCTTGTCTTTTGTTGGTTGTTCTTGGCCCAGTATCTCCTTGCGGCTGATATCCTTCAGTGTCGCAGGTCCGTTGGGGTCTGCACACTGGATCCAGCGTTTTGCGATACTGGGCACGCTGCTCATGTCTGTGATTTGCCCTCACATCAGAGAAATTGCTGGTGAGCACTGACGCAGAAGTTCTACGATGGCCAGGATTCATCACTTTGTCAGCCAAGTTTCTTTTCTTCAGCAGAAACGAGGGGCAGCTGACCTGTTTTTTACTGTCCGTTGCCCCGCTGTCTGCTGCTGCCTTGGCTTTATCCTCTCCTGTTTCCATCGTCACGTCCTGGTCTTCCACTGAATCTGAGATCCTGCGGTAGCTGGCAAGCAGTTGGTTCCTGCCATTTTTACGCAGTGCCTGCAGATTTATGGAAGCAATGGCTCTTCTCATGGTCTCTCTCCTCTCTGGTTCTCCAGAGGTACGTCTTTCTGGGATGCTGCTCTGAGGTGTTCCAGCGGCAGGTGTTGCCTTGCAGACATCCTCTTCTGCATCCAGTGAGCCTTGGATCTTTCGATACTGGGCAAGCAGTTCAAACCTGCAGTGTTTCCGCAGTGCCCACAAATCCATGGAGGCATAAGCTCTCCTGTGTGACTTGTTGGTCTCGGGTGCTTCAGCGGTGCAGCTTTCTGAGTCTCTTGTCTGAGCTGTTTGTGCTGCAGGTTTATCATCCTCCTCATTCACCGACTCTGGGATTCTGCGGTAGCTGTCCAACAGCTTGTTCTTTTGCTGTGCACGCAGAGCCCACAGGTCAGAGGAGATCCTACTTCTTGTAGAAGCCAGGCTTCTGCAATGGTGGGCAGTGATGTCTGTACTGCCTGCTGCATCTACTGCTGCTGCTGCCTCGGCTCTGGCGTTGTCTCTTTGTGTCTTGGAGATCTTCAGTTCTTGGACCAGGACTTTGATGTCTCGCATTCTGCGTAGTGTTTTCAAAGTGGGCATAATCTTTCTTGGCTCCATTCTGTTGCGTCTAGATGCTATGAATTTCTCGTCTGGGATAAATATAGGATTATATTTCAAGCTTTGATCGAACACGCTCTACACAAATATCTTTTCTGCGCTTGCCTTCAGTGGTCTTCAGAAATGTCTTTGCTGTGTGGGTCAGGTCCTGCATTTAAGCACTTTTGTGACTCATCAGTTATGTCATATCATTTCTATGACATCATCAAAGGAAAGCATTGAATGACATCATCAGTACAGTTCAGCCCCGTCGCCATGGTGATGGACTCTAAACATTCCACTGTCAGAATGCAGCACTCAGGACGGCACGATTCATTCATTCATTTGTTTAATCATTCATTTATTCATTTGTCACACTATTTGAATGACAAAACTTTGGACATTTGCCACCTTTTAGGCCCAGAAACTTGGGTTGGACCTTTTAAATGATTTTGATTTTGAATTTGAATACTGAATGCTGATTTTGATTTTGATTTTTGAATGCTGTTGTTGCTGATTTTATGTTGGTGTTGTGTTGTTTTTTTTCTGGTGCAGCAATTTTCCTGAGGTCTTGTACCGAAGGGATTAATAGTTTTATTCTAATTCTAATTCTAATTTTCCAAACCCATTTGCTGTTGATGTGGTCGCTGCTGCAGAGCATTCACAGTTCAAACTGAAAGAATGACAGTAAATGATGTGCTTATGGCCAAGTGTAACTCTTCTGGGACGGTTTATTCCAGACACGACGCCACAGCTCCAGCACAGCAAACGGTGTGGTGACTGAATTCACATGTTGGGTTTTGTGCATTTAAAGAACACAACAAACAGAACCATACTGCAAAGAATGAGGGAGGTTTAATGCAGCAGAGCCACTGGGCCCAGGTGTGGCTCATTCAGCTCTGCAAAGGAAAGGACGGGGACACCTAGTGTCCAGGTGGAGGGTCTGCACTACACACTTTGCAGTAACGGTCCGCAGCGGATACACAGCCGGGTATCTTGGACTCTGAAACATTACCGTAGGCAAACGCTTACTTCCAGATTTTACACATGGTGAAGAACCAAATTATAACCCACGTCTCGTCTGTAGCCCACTGCCTCCTGATGCTAATGCTAACATCCAGCTATCAGTCATCTGTTCCCTTCATATTAGCAGTAGAACAGAAAGTAGCATTTCATTCATTATATCCTCATCATGTCTTATATTGAATTTCCCTTCTGGGCTAAATAAAGTATTTTTCATTTCATTTCATTCATATGGGGCTCCAAGGTGGCTCGGTGGTTAGCACCGTTGCCTCACAGCTAGAAGGTTGCCGGTTTGCGTCCCGGTGAGGACACCCGGGATCTTTCTTGCATGTTCTCCCCGCGCAGCGTGGGTTCTCTCCAGGTTCTCCGGCTTCCTCCCACAGTCCAGAAACATGCTGAGGTTAATTGGTGATTGTAAATTGTCCGTAGGTGTGAATGTGAGTGTGCTTGGTTGTTGGTCTCCAAGTGTAGCCCTGTGATAGACTGGGTACCTGTCCAGGTGAACCTGCCTTCACCCTGAGTCAGCTGGGATAGACTCCAGCCCCCCATGACCCTAGTGAGGATTAAGGTGTAGAGATGATGGATGGATGGATCGTTTTTTGAGATTTGGAATCTTAAAATGTGTGTGATATAATCAAATATATGATTTTAACTTGTTTTGAGCTGATTTACTCTCAGCTTTTTGTTGTCTTTTTATGGCCTGTTTGCCGTCTTACGTTTCAGTCTCTGTTGCTGGTTTATTTTCACTTGCGGTAACGTCTTCCCTGTCGTTGTGCTTCTTCACAGTCATCGTCGCCTGAGGACGAACCAGAGAGCAACTCCGACGAGCAGGACGAGGACGAGGGCAGTTCGGGGAGAGAGAGTAGCCGAGGCGTCAAGAGGAAGAGGACGTCCGTGGAGACAGACACCAACAGACACGCCGACTCCACCAGTAAGTGTTTGTGGGTGTTTTCTTCTTCTTCTGTTTTTTGTTGTTGTTTGTTGTTTGTTTGGTTTTTGAATTAAGATATAATTTCAACAAATGAACAAAACTAACAAATTTTTGTAAAATAGTGATTAACTGTTTTTTGCTTTGAAAAGACAGGTAAGATCTTCATTTTTTTTTTACAATGAGGGGATTATCTGTTTCTTTCTCACCAAAAAAACAGCATTTTAGAAGAATTTTCTTTTCTTTTCTTTTTTTGTTTCTGTTGCAGACAAGAACCAGGAGGGGAAGATCAAGATCACAGCGAGACACGACGAGAAGAGCTCGGGCTAAACGATGACTTCCCTTTGACTTGGTGATTTCACATCAGCCTGCGTTCACCGTTCAGTCGGCTGTAAACACAACACGGACGTCACCGATAAAGTTCATCCAGTTGGTATTTACACACCCAGCAGACCAGAAGCAGCCTCTGCATTCACTTTGATTTGGGTCTCTGTTCGTCTGATGAGTGCAAATCAAACATTGGCTTTGCTGTTTAGCTTCGTTTCGCTCTCCGTACGGGGAAACATGTGGCCCTTTAAGCTCCAGTGCTGACAGTCGAGCTGTAAAATCAAATGAGAAAAGCTGGGAACAACAGAGAGGAACCGCCCAATGATCTGTGTCTGAGCAGCTGCTTTCATGAGGATAATCGTTTTAATGCAAAGTTCACATAAAAACAACGATCAGAGCAACTTTAATTTATTATTTTTTTAAGGCATTATCGAGCTGAAAAAAGATTCCTGGGATTAAATTCAAGTTTGCATTTCAGCTGACCTTCCAGTCTGGCCCTGACATGTTTCCTCTGTGTGCATTTTTATCAGATATACTTTGATTTCTACTCATACAGCTGTCTGAACCGGCTTTAGGACAGCATTTTATATGATGTGTACAAATGTTAAAGCCCAGAATTTTAGAAAACAGGTTTTTTTTTTAAATAGCCTTAAACCTGCACTTATTGTTTTTTGGCTACTTGGGGGCAGAAACAGAAGCTGCTGATGTGGAACTCTGCAGGGACGAAGCAAACATAGCATTAATTTGCATTTATATTGCGAAAATAAAAAATAAAGTCACTGCCTTTTAAACCAAAACAGTGAGCTAAAGATTCTAAAGATCTCTGCGGCGCTGCAGTCGATGATAATTCTCTACGAGCAACTCATTTCACAGTAAAGTTTGCTATTTTATGCAATCTTAGATGGATTTCTAAAGTATTGCAGCTTTGATTTAAAAATATTATTTAGGTTATGGGCTGCACGGTGGCTCAGGGGCTAGAAGGTCGCCGGTTCATGTCCCAGTGAGGACACCCGGGATCTTTCTGCGTGGAGTCTCCATGTTCTCCCCGTGCAGCATGGGTTCTCTCCGGGTTCTCCGGCTTCCTCCCACAGTCCAGAAACATGCTGAGGTTAATTGGTGATTCTAAATTGTCCGTAGGTGTGAATGTGAGTGTGCTTGGTTGGCCCGGTGGCTGAAGGATGTGAGTTTTGAACCCAAGACGAGAGGGAGACAGGTTAAAGGGAAACCAGGTTTATTTGAGGGAATCCGGGGAAGTGAGGGACACCAGGAGGCAGGTGAGGGAGAAGAAAGTCTGGCTCGTATCCTGTGGCGTGAAAGCTGCCGTGGGAGACCATGCGGCTGACGCTTAGGCCGCTGGAGGGGACGCCGGGAAGCAAGGAGAGACATTGAGGGTTACTCGTGAGCTCTTAGTCCTTAGTGGACACAGCTAAGCGGCCTGATGTAGCGCTCGTGGAGCTGGCAGGCGTCTGAACAGCAGCTTTATCCAGCGCGCTGATGAGGGCAATGGGAGCATCCTCCTCCAACCAGCCCCACCCAGCCTGAAACCAACAGCACAGCCAGCCGCAAACACAAACAACAGAAGTCCAGAAACACAGTAAAACAAGTTCATGATCACCACAAGTGTAGCCCTGTGATAGACTGGTTACCTGTCCAGGTGAACCTGCCTTCACCCTGAGTCAGCTGGGATAGACTCCAGCCCCCCATGACCCTAGTGAGGATTAAGGTGTAGAGATGATGGATGGATGTTTAGGTTCTGAATAGTTTTTGTCTCTGTCTCAGCTCCATCTTCCTCTTTCAAACCTAAACAGAATCGAACGCTAAAAATAAATTCCGCACATGAGAGAAAACAGAACTTAAAAATGAACGTTCTAACTATTAAAACAAGTGGCGACTAAACAGGAGAACGCCGCCGTCGTAGTTCCTCAAACTGTATGTTTTAGACACCGGTTTGTCAGTGGAGCAGTTATTTCTGGAGGCCTTCGTGTTCTGCTTTGTCGTATTTTCGACGTCCTCATGCTAATCACTGGTCCGGCTCTTGTGGTTTCGCTGCAGCGGGGAGGGGGGGTCACATTTTCAGAGGTTAACTTCTGCTTTTACATGAACAGCTCGAGGCGCGTCATGCCATCGTCATGTTAGTATTGATTACTGGGGGTAGACAGGCGACACGAAGCCCATTTCTACTGAGGCGCTGAATCCAAAACTACAGTTGTGCACGATGCGCTGCGTTAGGGTAAATAAAATGTCTCCAGACGCTGAAATGCTCGACCTTCGCTACGAGGTGAACATCTGATTGTGAACATCTGATTGTGAACATCTGATTGTGAACATTAACACATTCTGCTGAGCTGCTGGGTGAAGACACCACCTCAGAAAGTCACACATTTTGCAACACATACCTTTTTTTTTACTACAGCTACGACGAGCGCAACAAGTTTTCTTGTGGAGAATGAATAAATTGTTCATATTTAACCGACAGAACAAACTCAGTGCCTTCTCAGATATTGATTGCAGCTGTTTCTGCTTTTGTCGTCCCTCTGCAGCCGTTCATACCTTTTGACTTCTAATTTTACATTTACAGCCTTTTTCTGTGCCTAAAACGTGACTTTCCCGGCACTGCTGTCCCTCCCTGGCTATATATTTTTTATTTTTTTTACCACAGTTGCACCTACTCCTCCCCACTTTCACGTCGCCAACGTAGAAAGACGGACGAGAGAAACATGTTCCTCTTCCTCTTTTCTTGTCAGAATGCACATATTTTTGCAAGTATTAACTTTCCACCGTCAGCTGTGGCAACCGGGCGGATCAAGAGAGAGGAGAAAGTCCGTTAGATGTGTAAAATAATTAAAGATGCTCCGGTTGATACGATATTTGCTCAAAATGTGAGATTCTTTAAAATCCTTCATTTCTTTTGTGCACTTTTTTTTTTTTATCTTTCCTGCCCCATCCCGTGCCCTCCTAATGCTGTTCTATTGATTTGTGCTGTTTCTGTTATGCCTCTCTGGTACCATTATATTCCATTAAGTCCAGAACTGTGTCAGTGATCAGAGGCCTTTTCAGTCTGTTAATTAAAATGTGTGCTACTGTAAGTGCTTTGACTTTCACGGCTGTTTGTTTGTTTTTTTAGAATAATAAAGCGCTCTCTCTAACAAACTTTTAATGCACTATTTTCTGATGCTGAAATAAATTTCTGTTCTTTAAAGCCGCCTCCATGTGATTCACATTTTGTACCATAACAAGTTCACCGCAGGCCTCTGATGGGCTGAACGATCCTCCCTGAATAACTGTGACTCTTCTGGGAAACTGAGGTAACATCACGTGTGACGTTCTATTCAGAACATTATGCAAACGAGTTGTGGTGAGTTGATCAACCAGAGTTGAACGGTTGAGCGTTTGTCATGATGCAGTTTCAGGAGACCGGCTCCAGCGTCAGCGTCCTGTAAAACCCTCCTGTCGAGACGTTAAAGCTTCGGTCACGTGACCGAGTCCAGACAAATGTGTGAAACACGGCGAAGCGTTTCGTCAACTCTGTTCAAGAAATCATAGGTTTGTCCAAGTTGCCGGTTGCATTTCGTCAACAGGAAATGACTGATGGAAATGTAAACTATTACAAAGTGAAATTAGCTTTTGCTTCCCTTTTTTCTTGTAATCTTCTATTTAATGTGAACTGAAAATGTTTCTTGTGCTGAGAACTAAAAGCAAAGATGTTTTAAAATAAGTTCCCCAACAGTCTGAATTTTCTCACATTAAACTCTAAAATTAGGGATTCAAGTCATTTATTATTAAGCCTCTGCTGATGCCAGTTTGGGCTGCAGGTGGCTCAGTGGTTAGCACTGTTGCCTTGCAGCTAGAAGGTCGCTGGTTCGCGTCCCGGTGTGGAGTCTCCATGTTCTCCCCGTGCAGTGTGGGTTCTCTCCAGGTTCTCCAGCTTCCTCCCACAGTCCAGAAACATGTTGAGGTTAATTGGTGATTGTAAATTGTCCGTAGGTGTGAATGTGAGTGTGCTTGGTTGTCTGTCTCTAAGTGTAGCCCTGTGATAGACTGGTTACCTGTCCAGGTGAACCTGCCTTCACCCTGAGTCAGCTGGGATAGACTCAAGTGACTCTAGTGAGGATTAATGTATAGATGATGGATGGATGGAAGACACCATTTTCTTTGATGCTACACACTGTAAGTATTGTAGATTAGCTGTAGTACCGGGCTTCACCACCAGGTTGAGCCTCTCACTGTTTAGCAGGTACTTCTGGATTGGCAAGCAGAGAGCATTGTGGGAGCTAGCTAGTAAAGAAATGAAAAAAAAAAGCCTTTCTGACTTCTTAACTCCAAAAACACCAAATCTACCATCAAGCATGGAGGTGGCAGCATCATGCCCCGGGGCTGTTCTGCTGCCAGTGGAGCTGGTGCTTTACAGGAAGTAAATGAAGACGGAGGATGACCTTCACATTCTTCAGTAAAAACCTCAAGTCGTCAGCCAGAAGGTTGAGCTTTGGTGTTACAAAACAGTGTCATCAAAAGCGGTAAAGAAATGGTTAACTCCCATAAGAACCTGTGGACTGTGAGGAAGAAACAAGTCTGTGGCAGAAAGCGGACATCTTTAGTTAAACTGCACCAGTTCTGCCAAAAGGAGGGTCAAAGATAAAACCAGAAGCTTGTGGACAGAAACCAGAAGAGGCTGACTGAGGTGAAAATAGCCAGAGGACACTTAAGCAAATATTAGTTTATCTTTTACCCTGTGAATTTTGTTCAGTTATTTCCTGTTTTATTTTGACATTCCCAGTCGTGTGTTTCTTGTGGCTTTGCTTCCTTTCTTTGTCTGTTTCCCTCCTGTTTTATTGGCCTTCACCTGATCTATGGGTCAATACTTTTGTCTTTTTCTTGTCTTGTGCCAGTTTGTCTTGTTTGCTCCTCTCATGTTCGCCGGCATTAATCTTCTCAGTGCTCCTGTGGTTTATGTTTCTCTTCCCTTTTTTTTTTAATGGTGGTGGTTTCTGGACTTTGTTTCACTGGGTTATGCTCTTTATGGTTTTATTTTTCCTGGAACACAAGCCACCTTTTGTCTGTTATAACCACAACCTGCTTGACCGTCTGCACCTGAACACCCTCCTGATAGACTCAGCTACACTCCACTTTATTACAAACACCTGTTCGAGTGCTCGGGACACAAATATCTAAATAGCCAATCACACGGCAGCAGCTCAGGGCATGTAGAGCACCTTAAGGATGAGGTGAATTTGAATCATTGACGTGCAGCCAACACGTGATCCAAAATCTCTGAAGAGCACCGAGTTGAATCTCTTCCACAAAGAATTCGGGCAAAATGGAGTCCAACCGGGTACGAATACGGTGAACAAGGTGGTCGGTGAATGTGTGACTCCTCGTTTGCCTGAATCTCTCCAGAGTTGGAGGCTGCAGCGTCGCCATCGTGACCCATAGAGCCACAATGATGGAAAATACTCCTGGTTGAAATACACCAGAATTACCTTCAAATCACATGAAGCTAAAATAAAACACACGAAGAAGGAATCCAACAAGATCAAAGAAATATTAAAAGGAAGTGCAGTTGTGTAAGCTCAAAGCCGAACACAGGAACAGTCTTAGGAGAAGTGCAGTGACACTGATGTCAGCCAGGTTGGATCAGACGCCTCCTCTCTTTGTTACTCATTCATCATCACAGCAGGTCAGAGAACATGTTGGTGGTTAAAACACACCTGGACGCCTGTAGCTCTGTGTAATCATTAAACTAACTGGGGATCTTCATGCTGCTCAACCTTGTTTCTGAAGAGCTCCAAACTGAGGCCTGCAAAAGGCTCATGAGCAGCTCCTGAACTCAACATTCTGCATGTCCGGGACATTTCATCTTCCAACACTTCATTCATCTTCATCCCTTTCATTCTTATCCGACCCCCTCCGGCGCTGCAGCCTGGCTTCAGAGGGAACTTTTCTTTTCTAATCCTGGATGTTGATTACGGATTAGAGCTGAGAGCTTTGTCTTGTGTGTTAATGCCGAGCTGCTGCTGCTGCTGCTGCTGAAGCCCTGAGGCTGAACCGCCCACGCCTCCACCACAAGGACTCAGGGAGCATGATAGCTGTCAACCCCTCATTTGAATACCTGTTCAGGTGTCCTGCACGTCATGCAAATGCGTCCCTCACCTGTCCGCCCGTTCATCCGCCTGTCCACCACTCCTCCACCTGACATAAACCCGATGTTAAACACAGAAAAATGACTAAATAAAGTAGGCAAACTGCACCGTGACATCAATCTAAAGAGAAAATAATAAAAAACTAAAACATTCATGAGCTTTGGTAACGTCTTTAATCTTTGACGCTGCGCTTTGACGCACGGAGGAAACTTCCTGCGCCCCTCTCCGGTTCATTAACTCACCACCAGAGAAACAGCTGACGGAAAAAGTCGCGGCTGCGGCTGATTCAGCCAGTGAAACCGACATTGTGATTGGTTTTCGCTGGTTCCTCTTTTCCCATCGCAGTCATGATGCGCAAAGCTCAAACTTCCTCCTAGCAGTCCAGTCCGCTGCGCCCCGCCGTCCTGTGCGCATCTCCAGCTCCAACACAGCGGCACCAGCGAGGGATGGAAGCTCCAGAAAAGCAATGAGGACTATTTTTGGCGCGTTTATCTGAATCTAGAAGCTCATAATCAACCGCACAGAGAGTCGAAGTGGGAGATTAAAACGCGGTGAGTGTCTGTCTTGATGTTTGTTTTGTGGAGAGGAAGAAGCCAAACTGTCAGAAACACGACTGTCAGAGAGAAAGAAGAAGATTAAATTTTAGAAAATTGAGGGTAGAATTTGAGAATTCTGTTGAATGAGATAAATGCAGTTTTACAAAGAGGATGCTCAGTTCCAAAAAGAGGAACTTCAAGGTCTTTGAGTTGACTCAGCCACCGCCTGCAGGAATCACAAATCATATGTAAAAGAGTCAGGGAGGTGTGAAAGTGGAGCCAACAGGTGGATGCTTCTATCACAGTGCTGCTCTTGTTATTTTCTACTAAGTGAAGAGTCTCAAGTATTTCCTCTGTTTCATTTGGTCTTCATCTCTGCGTGCCAGTTATTTTTAGACCGTCCATCTACTGCACCAGAAATTCGACTGGTTTCAGTTCTGCCCTTTGTTCTTTCAGTGTCTGTCAGGTAACTTTCCGTTCACGAGCCTAAAGTCAGACCCGGCAGAGTTACATAAGAGACATGCGAGTGTGTGAAGACATGTGTGCGCCTTTAATAACGTTTGTGTGTGTTAATCCCGGTGAGTCTCACTGAGGAAGTCTTAGCAAACGCTGCAGAAAATGCCGATATTACATCATACTGGTGGTGACCAGTGTCCTCATCCAGCTGCTCGTCTGGCATCGGTGCTGAGGTCACATCGGCCTGATTTCCATCCAAAATGTTGTAAATAGAAGGTTTACAATCAACTCATGTTTTCCTGCCGGTTTCAGCGTAACTATGTGAGTTTGGTTCAGGTCATCGGGGACAAAATGTCTTCAGCAGCTGCAGCTTGAAGTTCCTCCTGTCAATTGAAGAAGTGACTCTTTATACTGAGAAAAATGCAAATATGTGTTTCCACTGAGTCGTTTCTCAAGTTGGCTTTAATTTCCAGCTTGAACTGAGTTTAAAAGGATTTCGAGTGCAAATGGATTTATTTCACCCTCGACTTCGGCTTGATTCGTCCTGTTGGTCGTTTTGAGTTTGTTCAACTCGTAGATGTGAGTGAAGAATTAGTTCAAAGTTGTTTTATGAGTTTTAAAAATGTGGTTAAATTGATTGAACTCCACAAGTTCAATAAGAAATGACACTAAGTGGTGGTCAAACTAATTGTTGATTTGCATTTCTAAGCTGAACAACAACAACAGTGAGTTCATTTTTAAAGTTAAAATCTTCACTTGTGATGACTGTTTTGTTGTTGTTTTTAAATTAAGTGATGCATCATGTCTATAAAATACCAGGAAATAAAAACAACCACTTTTGTTTTGGTCCAACCTTTCCTCCTGACTCAAAGTGCCTCATTTGGAATAATAGAAAACAGACGGGAGAAGCTTTTTTTTCTAATAATTGGCATAAATATTTAGTCCTGAACGACCCAGTTACGTTATTTTGTTGTTCAAAGACACTCTGAGAACGTTCTAGCTGAACTTTATTTATTATTCTTTTAAATTTCCAGATTGTTTGAAGACATTCTAGACACGTTCTTCTAAAAACGTTTGCAGAACGTTGCACTGACAGCGCCCTTCCTTTGTTGTCGTGTAATATTGCAGAAACATTTTATACGAGAACATTCTCAACTTTCCCGAAACAGTTTGAGAACATTGCCGGCAAAGTGTTCCACCTTTGTTGATGTATTAAATGACAGGAAAACGTTCTTAGTTTAACATTATAGGAACATTATTTTAAATGATAAGAGTCCTTAAAATGTTCTTTCAACATTAGATTGAAACGTTTTCTTTAAAACATCACCAGAACTTGTAGATCCAAATATTTAGTGCTAAACATAACTACTTTACTTTCTACTCTTTCTGTATGTTTACTTATAGTTTACCCCTGTTTTTATTCTGCTTATTATTTATTCGGCTTTTTCTTAAAAACCTTAAAGACCTGAGTACTTATTTCGTACCACGCACGTGTGAATGTGAGCTGCCATGACAAATAAAGTTCCTTCAATCCTACATAATGTTAGCAAATGTTGTGGGAATGTTCCCTGTAATTGTTCATAAAATGGGAAGTGAAACGAGCTGCTGTGTTTAGACTGTGTTTGATCAGACGTCTTGTTTCATGAGCTGAGCTGCACCAAGTTTAATATCGTCATGAGAAGCAGTTTAAAAACAAAAAAAACAAAAAGTCTCTTCCTGTTGATAAGTGACTCAATAACAGCACAAATAGAAAATCTTTCCATTTCTTCATTCCTGGTGCAGCTCCAGGCTGCCAGCTGATGTTGTTGTGGCCTCGGGCAGCTTGTCGCGGCTACAAGTCCCTCAGAGCAGAGCATGAATTATTCCTGACTGGTGTCTCTGGAGAGCGGCTCGGCTCGGAGGCAGGATGATACGAGGTTCCTAAACGTGTGGACAGCAGCAGGTCGAACAGCAAGTCTGGAACGATGTGCTTTTTAAAAATCAAACAGCATCACGACTGTGGCTGCCTGTCTTGGTTTGTGTAGTGGTTTGACTCCACTCCATTTGCATGATGGGTAATGATTAGACGATCCTCATCTGGGCCTTTATGTAAATGCGAGCGGTCGGCCATGTTGGAAAGGCAGCACGCTTACGTTGTGATCCGTGTTTTGTGTGGCTTCGGGCTAAAATTACAATTATTTATTTCTGCTGTTCAGTGGAAAGTTTGCATATTTAACAGTTTGAGCTCATGTTTAACACATTAACCCTGTCATAATATTCTATTATCCTAATAATGTGCTGTTTAAATACCAGATCTGCTGCCGTGTGAAGAGGTCAGGACTTATTTGAAAGCATAACTTTACTTGTAGCTTGCTAAAAAAGGAATAAACACATTCTTCCTTTATTTTAAATTAGAAATTGAATTCATAAGCAAAAAAAAGCGCTTTTGCTCAAGTCAGCAGAGGGAATCTTGTTGCCGCTGCAGCTTCACTTTCGAGGTTCTGTGTAAGGAACTGATTTCAACAGAAAATAGGATTCAGCACTCGTTAAACTGGTTCTTAAGCAAAAGAAAAAGTAATGTGAGAATTTCTTTTATTATAATACAGTTAATGTTTTGAGTTGTGGTCTGTTGGTCAGACAAATAAAACATAACAAGATCCTAAACTGGGAATTGTGACGAGCTTTCCTGACTGTGTTCTGATGTTTTATAGACCAAAGGATTAATTGATTACTTGAAAAAATAATGGTGAGTTGCAGCTCTGACTCTCTGCCACCAAATAACTCCAATAAAAATGAAGAACCTTTAATGTTTTCAAGAACCACGTGAAATCCCAGAAACATAAAAAGGTTCTTCAACCGATGAAGAACCCTTTAAGAGCCGTTATTTTTCTGGGTGTAGTGTCGGGGTTTAGCAGACGTATTTCAGTTGTGTGCACGTTGACTTTCCTCATTACAACATGCTGCATTATACTCAGATATTTTACTTGAGTAACACAGTCGCAGGCAGTATTTGAAAGTTTTTAGACAACATCTTTTCTTGTTTTTGAAACTCCTAAATGTTGATATTAGTTTCTATAAATCAATCTTCCTGAGGATGTCGTTCAAGTCCTGATTCCCGAACAAACAGTAAATTTAAAATGCGCTACACGCCGTGTAGTTTTTATGCAATGTGACAAATATTTAAAATGTACAGCGAGGGAAGTGGAACTGTGCCCCACATCAAAGCACAATATATGTCTGAGAACTCACATTTCTTTAAGTTGTTCTGCTTTTGTTTTAAGTAGCTGAAACCAAACACAAGCCTGAGTTAGGATTAGTCATCTGTGTATGTATTTGTGACGTGTTTTTCACCACACAGACAAATGATCATGACCTTTTTCTTGTTATTTTTAAAACTTTCTTCGCATAAGAAAGTCTTTACATTCCTTTATTAAGTTTTTTTCTGTTGCTCAGGTTTAAAAAATGAGGAATCGTGCTAATTGCTGAGCTTCAGAGGTGCAGACAGACAAATTTCTGCTACGTTTGGGCAGAGCTAGCATCACTGTTTTCAGTCTTTATGCTAAGCTAAGCTAAGCTAAGCTAGCTGACTCATGGCTGTTGCCATACATTGAGCGTACAAACATAAAAGAATATTGTCATCTAATTCTCAACAGGAAAGTAGGTAGGCATCATTCCTAAAATGTCAAAGTTCACATTTGAGTGTTTTTTGTCCTGTTGAAGCTCGTGTCACTGCTGTCGATGTAAATTTGACATTTCCTCCGTTAGATGTGACCTTTCTGCCGACGTTCGAGTTTAAAACAGTTGAACGTGATGGGGTTCATTTAATTTTTTTTTCTGTGGTTTCAACTGGGATGGAAGATCTATTTATGGTCGATGATTAAACCACAAGTTACAGGAAAGAGGATATTAAAAAAAAAAAGTAGAGACGAAAGAACTGAAACTGTTGAGGCAGTCGAAGAATAAGAATTATCTCATTAAATGATCTGACAAGGAGAGTAAAACGCTGAAATAGCCAGAAAAACTTGTGTTTTTAACCAGCTTTGCATCCGGTTCTTAATGTAAAACTAGATGCATTTTCAAATTTCAGAATTTAGTTTATTCATTAAATAGGGACCATCTACGGTTAAGAGCAGCATCATTCTGTGGCCTTCTCACGATGTTTTCCTCTCCCTCGTCCTCGGTCTGTTGCTCTGCAGGACGTAACAAGTCGTGAGAGTTTGGTTGTGGTGTTCCGTTCTCGGCTTTTCACTCAGCATTATAAATAGCTGCGGGGCGGTTTTGTTGCGCTAAAATACTGTTTTAGTTTATTCTATATGTTGAAGCCTCATGTCATAAGAGGCTGTGTTGAAGCGTCACAGGAAGAGTTTAGAGAAATGTGCTTGTTTACTTACTCTCCAGGACTCGTGTGTTTGCTGGTAGGATGCTCATTAGTGACCTTTTGGTTGGCGTCAGCTGGAAGGCGGGTGTTTCACTGGACTGTTGTGGAGAAGATCTGTGGTCATGAGCTCTGGATAGACACATACAAATGGGTTTCCTCTGTAGGGTTCAGCTTTAGAGATGACGTGAGGAGCTCAGACAGC